AGGGCCGGGCCGCGCCCGTCCGGGGTGGGGCCGGGTCCGGACACCGCCGGCGTGACTCAGCCCCGGCCCGGCCGCTCGCATATCGCAGTTCTGGGAGGTGATCAGCGACGAGCATGGCATCGACCCTACTGGCACCTACCACGGGGACAGCGATCTGCAGCTGGAGCGGATCAACGTGTACTACAACGAGGCCACCGGTGAGACCCCGCGCCCTTTCCTCACCACTCCTGCCGCCCGCGGCCTTTCCCTTGCTGACGCCCTCCGCCCCGCCCTCCAGGTGGCAAGTACGTGCCCCGCGCTGTGCTCGTGGACCTGGAACCGGGCACCATGGACTCGGTGCGCTCCGGGCCCTTCGGGCAGATCTTCAGGCCGGACAACTTCGTCTTCGGTGAGCCGCGGATGAGGGCTGGGCGGCGGCCTGTTAGCGAGGATGGCTCAAAGGTCAAGAGGTGTCCAAGGTCACCACCGTCAGAACCGCAGAGTCGAGATTCTGATCCCCCCTGTCCCCTGAGCAGCAGCTAGGGCCCCTGGACACTCTCCTCCCCCCTCGAGTCACTCAGTCTCCTCTGGTAAAGCGGCTTTGGGAGGAAGGCCCAGCTGTCCGCCCGCAGGGAAGGAGCCGGCAGATGTAATCTCCCTGCAGCGATGGCTGAGCTAGGGGTGGTGGCAGCTCTGACAGCTCATCTGTCCTTGGGAATTGGCAGGAGCTGCCCATGGGAGGGGCTAGCTTATTGTTAAGCCATCTCGGGGCGACTGTTAAATTTTAGTGAGGCTGGCTGCTGCTGTATCAGTTTGGGGGTCCTTCTGCTCTACCTGCAGGATGAGTTCTGTGTATCATCTCACTCGAGGTTAATTGGCTATTTTGGCATTGGTGACCACACGCCTGCCCTCTGTTGCAGGTCAGAGTGGTGCCGGGAACAACTGGGCCAAGGGACACTACACAGAAGGCGCAGAGCTGGTCGACTCGGTGCTGGATGTCGTGAGGAAGGAGGCTGAGAGCTGTGACTGCCTGCAGGGCTTCCAGCTGACCCACTCCCTGGGTGGGGGGACTGGGTCTGGGATGGGTACCCTCCTGATCAGTAAGATCCGAGAGGAGTACCCAGACAGGATCATGAACACGTTTAGTGTGGTGCCGTCGCCCAAGGTGTCGGACACTGTGGTGGAGCCCTACAACGCCACCCTCTCCGTCCACCAGCTCGTAGAAAACACAGACGAGACCTATTGCATTGATAACGAAGCCCTCTATGACATCTGCTTCAGAACCCTAAAGCTGACCACCCCCACATACGGTGACCTGAATCACCTGGTGTCGGCCACCATGAGTGGGGTCACCACCTGCCTGCGCTTCCCTGGTCAGCTCAATGCTGACCTGCGCAAGCTGGCTGTCAACATGGTCCCCTTCCCCCGCCTGCACTTCTTCATGCCTGGTTTTGCCCCCCTGACCAGCCGGGGGAGCCAGCAGTACCGGGCCCTGACGGTGCCCGAGCTCACCCAGCAGATGTTTGATGCCAAGAACATGATGGCTGCCTGCGACCCCCGCCACGGCCGCTACCTGACCGTGGCCGCCGTGTTCAGGGGTCGCATGTCCATGAAGGAGGTGGATGAGCAGATGCTTAACGTGCAAAACAAGAACAGCAGCTATTTTGTTGAGTGGATCCCCAACAACGTGAAAACAGCTGTCTGCGACATCCCACCCCGGGGCCTAAAAATGTCCGCCACCTTCATTGGCAACAGCACGGCCATCCAGGAGCTGTTCAAGCGCATCTCGGAACAGTTCACGGCCATGTTCCGGCGCAAGGCCTTCCTGCACTGGTACACGGGCGAGGGTATGGACGAGATGGAGTTCACCGAGGCCGAGAGCAACATGAACGACCTGGTGTCTGAGTACCAGCAGTACCAGGACGCCACGGCCGAGGAGGAGGGCGAGTTTGAGGAGGAGGCGGAGGAGGAGGTGGCCTAGAGCTGTCTGGTACCCAGTAGAGCGCAGAAGCCTTGTGAACTCTTTATTCGCTCACAACCTGTTTCCTGATAGCCACGTCTTGTGTGTCCACTTACTTTCCTTCCTGTCTTGATGTCGTGTGCTGTACAGACACCACCATTAAAGCGTTTTCATAGTGTCTGCTTTCGCCTCTCCAGTTCCTTCTGATAGGCTTTACGCGTACCGTTTCCAAAGGTCAGGGCAAAGTTGTCCTGCATGGCTGCAAGGGCAGTGCTGCCACTGGGCTCTGGGCTTGCCACGCGCCCAGGGTGAGCCTGCAGGTGGCCACTGGGGGGGTCACGGGCTGTGAACATGCACGCCTCTGAGGAGCTTGGGGCTGCCCTGAGCACCTGCTTCCTGCCCACTGAACCTCCAGAGAGCCAGCATGGTCTGGAGACAGCTGGCCTCTGTGTCTGCAACTTGTAGTAGGAGAGGGTCAGTGAGGCCCGTCCACAGCTGGGAATGGTGGAGGGTGGGCAGTCCTACCACAAGAGCCCCTGGGGATAATGTGGTCACACACCTGGCCCTGTGCCAGTGGTGCAGCACTGGTAAGGGGCCTCAGCTGCCCCTCCTCCCCACAGCGGCCTGGTCACTGTGACCGCGTCTGAACGAGGTGGGCAGGGACCCCACTGTGTACTCACATGGTACGAAGCCCATATAGAAAGGTATCAGGCCTCGGCTGCTGTAGATGGTGTTGCTGGGCCAGTGTGTCCGGGGCAGCCGCTCACCCAGGGCACAGATGGGATTTCTGAACAGGAACTGGGTAAAGAGGCAGGTGCTTAACTGTGCTGCCTCCCCCATGTGGTAATCAGTGGGCTTGGTGGTGGTGGGGCTGGCATTCTCCTGGGAAGTGGCTAATGTTCCAGGGGGCTCTTCTGTCTTCTCCCCTCCCCATGTCACTCCAAAGTATGGAGCCAAGACCTGGACAGAAGGGTAACTGGGGGAGCAGCCTCCTTGGGCCAGGCAGAGCCCCCTCCCCAGGCCTCTGAGGAAGCCTGGCCTTCACAGCCCCCGACAGGGAAGTTGGCTGAGCCCTGTCCCTGCTTCTGCCCTCTCGGAGGTGTGCAGACCACCCTGCAGGCCAAGTTGGGCACTCCGGAGCAGGCCCGGGGATGGGGTCTTTGTACCTGATTCTTATCGAACTCGTCCATAGCCTGTGTGACCCCATCGCGGTAACTCATCCCCAACACCCAGGCAAACCGAGGGACAAAGCCAGCATAGCCTGGGGGAGGAAGAGGTCAGGGTCCTGCTCCAGGTCCCCTCCGCCTTGCCTTGGGCATACCCCCCTGCTCCCAGGTGTGTTGGGGGGTCTGTCTGGGTTCCTTTGCTTTTCTAAACATTAGTGACTGCCTGCTGGGCTCAGATGGAAATGGGTGGGTAGGAGCTTCCAGCCTTGGGAGAAGCTGGGCTCCAGGAAGGCAGGAAGGGCCCATGGGCAGCCCTCCTCACTTGCTCTCACTGTTCATCCTGCCTAGGCCACTAGAACCTTGGAGAGGGTGTCCCTCTCCCGCCCAGGCCCTAGGCGCCCACCTGAGATGGCCTTGCGTTGGATCAGGTTGGGGTGGTCCAGCTGGGGCAGCCTGTGGAACCTGCCCACATCTAGCATCTCCTGCTGGCGGACTGGGGCTGGGCACTCATCCCTCCTGTAGTGGTACAGCTGGGATGGGGAGGGGCAAGTCACCGCCCAGCCCCCACCTGGGTCTGGCTGGCGTGAGGCTTAGTCCCAGTGCATCCTCCAGTTACCTGGTCCAACCTAGGGGCTCCGTGGACAGGGGTGGTGCTCTTCCAGCCCTCTTCCCCGCAGGCCGGCCGCAAGCCCGGGTGTCCCAAGTCCCTGGAGTCCCCCTTCCTGCCTGGTGGGTACGGGGGGTGGCATGGATAGGACACAAAGCCCGCAGGCAGCAGAACCTGCCTGGATACCTTCTCTACCTCACGCGGCACCTGGGCGTCCACCTCCTGGGGTGGGAACCGACCCGGGATCTCAAAGTTCTTGTAAGGCTTCAGACCTGTACAGACAGGACACGATGGCTGTGAGGGACAGTGGGAATCAGGGTGGGTCCGGAAGGGGCGGGGCTGGTGGGCGGGTGGCTCACCAGTATAGTGGGGGATGTAGGGCTCAGTCAGGTCATGGCAGGGGATCAAAGGTGGCTTGGACTTGCTGAAGTCCTCAGTGAACTTGGGCTTGGAGATGGGGGACAGCACGGAGCAGGGGCTCTTGCGCACACTGGGGTCTGTGAGCAGCTGCGCTGTGGTGCGCCCATAGGTGTTCCCCACCTGGTAGCGCAGCTGTGGATAGAAGCCAGCATAGCTGCAGAAGAAAGAGGAGGAGCAGGCAGGGCCAGTGAGGTAGGGAAGGGCCCCTGCAAGTGGGGTGTGGGTCCAGCCTGCCGGCCACAGGAAAGGTACCTGAATCTACCTGCAGAGTGGGGCTCTTGAGGCTTGAATGGGCAGCACACACCAGGCCCTGAACAAGCCTGGCCCACAGGCGGTGGGCTCCCTTGTCATCACCACCCTTTGCCCAGCTGTCCTCCAACAACAAGGGGCTTAGAGAGGAGGGCACGAGGAACCCTGCCCCCTGGAAGCATTCACAAGGGTGGTGACGGTCTAGGCCGGACCAAGGCACAGGGAAGCCCATCACATACAAGTTGGTCCCACTGGGAAGGTGTGGTGGGGATCTGGTCCAGACTTTCACCACCCAGGCAGCCGGTAGCCAACTGTATGGAACCAGGATTTGGGAGCTGGGCAGGAGGGCTGCCGGCAGGAGGTGATGGTTGAGCCACGTGGGAAGTGGTGTGGACATCACAGCAGCAGGCCACGAGGCGTGTGGTGGGTGGTTCAGTGCTGCTGGGGGGCCTGTGTGATTCCCCCAACGAGCGTGAATTGTTTTCTTTTAACAAAGTAAATGCAGGTTTGCTAGTTTAAGAGCTGAGCAAAGCTGAGACTGAAGGGTCCGAGCCCTCTTCAGTATCTCCTGTCCCACCCTTTCCCCCAGAACCACTGTGAAAAGGCAGGTCTGGCTCCTTTGCAGCCTCTTCCCTCTCTCCCCTGGATCTGCGTGTTTGTGTAGGTGTGCACACACATTCCGCAGAGCGCTCGTGTTTATTTTTTACATGGGGGAGGCACCTAGTGAGGCAGCCTGGCGTCCCTGCCCATCAGTTTACTCTGCATGCTCCTCTGTCTAAAGCGTGGAGCACTCTATGGAGTGGGCATCCCGTGTTGACTTAGCCAGCCTCCACCAGCTGTTGGGCTGTCGCCGTTTTCTGCTCTCGACAGACATGCGACGGCCAGAGGGAGGGTAGGCCCGGGCCCTCGGCAGCCCTAACCACTCCAGCTCTTGGGCCTCATCCCCATTCCCTGGCCACCAGCTCTGGAGCTCCCCTTGCAGCTGGCCTGAGCCCTTAGGCCCCACCTTGCTCCCCCATCCTCTACCGACCCCAGCCTCCCTCCAGGGCTCCGACGCTTACCCAGGGACATAGTGAGGTTCTGGCGTGAAGAGGTTGTATTTCTGAGCAGCTGTCATCTTCCTCAACTCCACCTTGCTGGCTCCAGCCCTTTCTGCACCTCTGGCTCCCTTCCCTGAGCAGAGGCCCTGTTGCCTGGCAACCATTGTGAAGAGGCAGCATTGTTGGGCAGCACCTGGGCCAGGCCCTGTAACCCTGTGAGTGCACCCATTTTACAGGTGGAACGTCGAGGCTCAGACAGGCAACAGGCTGGAGAGGTGTCATGATGAAGACCTCAGAGCTCAGAGAATCAGGACTATCATGGCAGCCGAGTTGACTCTGCCAAGAAGTAGGGGCAGGTTTGGGCCTGGACTTCTGCTGCCCCCAGGAGGCCAACAACTGCCCACTGAAAAGCAGCCCCCCCTGGGTGAGGCTAAAAGAGCTCCTGCCCCAAGCCCCCTCCTCAGACGAGAGGCCTGGAAGCTTCAGAGGCATCATCCTAAGCCTCAGAGGGAGGCTCCTGAGCCCAAGAGCTGCCAGACTGTGCTGAAGGGTCCTTCCCCTGGAGCTGGGCACTATCTTCCACTTTAAACAAATCATGATTTTTATTTATTTATTTTTGTAAAGGAAAGACTTTCTAACCATAAAAATGAAGGAAAACATCATAAAGGAAAAAATTAGCAAGTTCATGTCAGAAAACAGTGTAAACAATACTAAAAGGCAGACTACAAATGGGGAAAAAAGTTTGCAACAAGTGTTATGAGTAGATATGATATCAGTATAAAAAAATGTACAGACCAAAAATATACACCCAGTAGAAAAACGTATACATGCTGTGAACATCTTAAAAACCCAGAGTCAATAAACACATGGACAGAAGGCTGAACCACGATCAGATAAGTGCTGACGAAATGCTGGTCAAGTGTTTTCTGGCGCTCGTGGCTGGCAGGGTCACACACGTTAGGTCTGCTCTTGTTTAAGAGACGCCGTCAGGGCCAGCCCCGTGACTTAGCAGTTAAGTGCGTGCGCTCCACTGCTGGCGGCCCGGGTTTGGATCCTGGGTGCGCACCCACGCACTGCTTCTCCAGCCATGCTGAGGCCGTGTCCCACATACAGCAACTAGAAGGATGTGCAGCTATGATATACAACTATCTACTGGGGCTTTGGGGGGAAAAAATAAATAACTAAAATTATTAAAAAAATTAAAACAAAAATAAAAAATAAAAAAAAGAGACGCCGTCAGGAAAGCAAGTTGTGAGTACAGATCAAATTCACACAAGACCTTACATACCTTGATCCACTGCCTCCACTTGTAGGAACCTATCCTGAGGAAATGAGCGACATTTAGCTGAGACACAAATACAACACGTGCAGCATTTGTCCAAGGAGAAATCAGAGCTAACCCAAATGTCCGACACAAGGGCCTTGTAAACAAAGCCACCTCTGAGGCCGCTGTCAGCTGTGCCCTCAGAGAAGACAGCAGTGTGGGAAGGGCCCTGGAGCACAGGCTGTGAGCCCCTCGCTCTAATAAAACGTGTTTCCTCAAGCAACTCTCTGTCCATCCGTCCACCCGGACATCCATCTGGAGCACCTCGCAAGGTCAGTGCTGGATGGAAGGGATGCTGAGAGGATGGACTCTGTCAGGCAGGGGAAGGCCCGGAGGATGAGATGTTCTTCACCAGGCCCTGCCTGGGTGGATCAGGCCAAGGCCAGGGCTGGGGCTGCAGGCTGGTCAGCTCTGGAGAGCCCTGCAAGGGCACTGGTGCCCAGACAGGCTCTCCCCCACTCAGGCTCATTCTTCCTTTGCATTTCACCTGGACAGCCCAGTCTGTCTGTGACACCTTCTGACCTCTGTGCCCCTAAGCAGAAGACAGGCCCCCATGCCTCAGCCCTGCCTGGGCCACCAGGTGGCTCCAGGGCCAGGCCTGCCTCTGGGGTCATGGTCCAGACCCATTCACCATTGCTTTGCTCTTCCCGGGAACCCTCCACCCTACCCCCATGTGTCCTTCCAGCTGGCCTTGCACAGCTGGACATCCCATAGCACCTGTTCGCCTCTCCACCTTCTGCTGGGACCTCAGCCCTCTCAGAAGCCCTGCTAGGCCCTGCTAGCCCTCTAGGGTACCCCAAAGTCCAGCAGAAGGGAAGGATTGGGACAAGGAAGAGGGGAAGAGAGGAAAAGAGGCCAAGCCAGGAATCATTGGGACAGGTTAAGGGGCCTCCTGGCCAAGGCTGACCCTAGGGTGACCCACCCGGCAGGTCAGGGGAGGGGGCCCTCTGGGGTCCAACTGCAGCAGCCCCTCCAGTGCTGGACAATGCTCCTTCACCAGGCAGTCCCTGGCAACAGGGGGGGCCCATAACCAGTCAGTGAGGTCACAGAGCCCTGTGGTGTCCCCAGGGAAGGGAACTAGGGATCCCGACAATGAATTTTGACCAGAAGGCCGTGAAATTCCTGGCAAACTTTTACATCAATGGAGGCAAACACTGGACCCGTGGCCCCCTGAGGCAGAAGCTGCTTGTGCCCACCCAGTAACTTCTGAGGGTGGTGGGCAGGCTGTGGGGGATAGCCCAGATGGGGTGGCCATTGGGCTGGGTGGACTGTGCCTGTCCATCTCCCTTGCAGACCCAAGGCCACTGTGCTATTGTTGGGCCCAGAGCCAGGGGCCACCTGGGATGAGACATGGCCCCCAGGGGCGCAGGAATTCCCAGCTGGCCTCAGGATGCAAATGGAGCCCCTCCAGGAGCCCCCACCTACCTGGACCCAGAACCTGCAGGAGCTGTGTGAGTGAGGGGCCCCACTACCCCTCACCCCAGTCTGGTCTAGGGAGGTGGGGCAGGGGTGAGGGAGGGGCCTGCTGGAAAGACCCAGGCCCAGAGCTTGCTTCCTGCCAGTGCTGGAGCGACGCCCGCCCATCATGACCGACCTGGACGTCCCCGGCCCCACCAAGTACCAGGTACCAGATGCTTCAGTGCGAGAATCCTCCCCACATCCCCACTTCAGCATTGGCCGCAAGCACCCCACCCTCGGTGCGTGCCCCTCCCTGCGCCCTCCCCACTGCCCGCCCCCTTGTCCTGGGAGTGGGGCTTGGCCACCAGCCTTCCCTCCCCAATGACATTGCCCCCCACTGCAGAGGGTGGTGGCCGTAGGGCGTGGCAGACCCTGTGGTTCCAGAGTGAAAGCCCCTTCACCCAGAAAGCCGACTTTAAGAGAGAGCAAAAGGTAGGGGGCTCGCCTGGCAGGTCCTGCGGGAGCGGGGGAGGGGTGGGATGGGGAGGGGGCCTGTGGGGGAGAGGGGGGTGGGGGGGGCAGGGCCCTGCAGCAGCCTCCTCCCCCTGCAGTGGCCATCACCTGCCCACTACCAGCCGCTCAGCCGGTCCGCCTTCGCGGCCTTCAGTTTCGGGGGCCACCGCCACACTTCCAAGATACCTGAGGCCTGTGTCCAGCCGGGGCTGCCGCGGGCTGGGGGTGCAGGTCACCGTGCCCAGCCCCTGCTTCAGGCCCCTCTGAAGGCCCTGCGGGGTGAGAAGCGCCCCAGCCCCAACACCTATGATATCCTCCCTGGGCGCCATCTGCAGAGCCCGCGCCCGCCCACCTGCACCATGAGCCACTCGCCTGCGTTTGCCTCCTGGATCAGCTCCTGTAAGAAGGCCTTGGAGAAGGGAGGCCGGGGGTGGCGGGGGGACTGGGGGGAGGTGGGAGCTGGGCAGCTGGGCACGCTGTAACCTGCATGGGGCACCCACCTTCTCTCTCCCCAGCCTGCACCCCCGGCCCAGCCACCTACTACGTGGAGGATTGCTATAACTCGCGCTTCCCCTCAGCGCCCAGAGTGGTCATCCAGGGCGTGCGGAGACCCAAGCGCCATGACACTGGCCCCTTCTGCACACTCTAGAGCCTGCTGGGCACAGCTGGCCCACCCGGTTATCGCATGGAACCCTGGCTTCCCCAGGGGCCTTTCCAGGCCTCTCTCTGAAACTCAGCACCCCTCAGCCTGGCCTTCTCACCCTCTGGGCACCCCGATCCACCATGCTGGCTGGCCAACCCTTCTGTGAGCTGTGGATGAGGACAGCCCAGTCCGAAGCCCCCATCTGCCCACCCCTTGCTATACAGAGATGCTGTTGGTTCTTCCAAACTCTGTCATGTGCTTGGCTGCCGTCCCCCACCCATGAGCTGTCCTGCAGGTGTGGCCTGCTGCTGACCTGTCATCTCTGGCCCGCCCTGGCCAGGGGTTTCCCTTCGATTCCCCTTCAGTGCTCTCTTCTTTAGGGTGGGTGGGGTGGCAGCCGGGGACTTCCTGGCCCAGGACAGGATGGGAAGGGGCCCAGTGGGCACTGCAGGACACCCCCACCTAGCCGTGCCACCCAGGGGACCAGTCCAGCAGCCAGTCTACCCAAGGGTCAGGTTGCTTGCTGAGCAGAGGGACTGACTGTTGGGGTGGAGGTGTGGGCCAGACTCCCTGAGCTGTCATCTTGAGATGAGGGCAGCGTGCCCAGCCACCAGGAAGCACCCAGAGGACCAGCTTGTCCAGGCCTGGCCTGCTTCCCCAGCCCCTGCCCAAAGACCCTTTGACTCGCCCAGGACCGTTAAGGCCAGGCCACACCTAATAGACTCCCTTGGCCTTCACCTGTTGGGGGCCTGCCCCTGCCCATGGCAGTTGCCTGGCCATTGGACCCCTCCTCACCATCAGCCTGCCCTCCTACTCTGGGGTCGGCACCAAGACTGCCTCCTTGAGGGGCCTCAGCTCAGCTGGTAGTGGCTCCTGTCACTGCACCAGTCCCTCCAGTGGTCCTCCCTGTGCCTCCCAGGTCTGGCCAGCGCCGCCCCCCTGCCCCGTCTCCTCTGCCAGAGCTCACCCCATGGCATCAGCTTCCTCTTCTGAAGGGAGGCCGAGGCCCAGGGAATCAGTGCCATGCACCTGTGACCGCCTCTAGGGCTGAATCTGCTGGGGGCTGAGCCCCACTGCCCCTGCAGAATCGGAGCAGTCAGACTGCAGATGGTCGTTACTAGGCCCTGGGCTGACCAGCTTGGCCAGTGGGCAGTAGAGACAGAGCTGTGAGTGTCCTGGCCTTGGGAGCTTGGCCCAGGGTGGGGAGACCAGGACCCCTGCTCACAGCTGCACCATCAGCAACCCCTCGGGCTCAAAGCCAGGAGTGGGACCAGCAGGAAGGATGGAGCAATCCCCCCCAGCTGGGCTGAGGTCTTCTGGAGGAGGCAGTGGAGGAATGGGCTTTCAAGGATGAGCAAGAGTTTGCCAAGCAGCAGGAAGAGAATTTCTAGCAGAGCAAACTTCATAGGCCAAAAGGGAGAGGGTATGACCTCTGGTATGGCCACGCTTTGGAGGACCCTGGGCTGGTGGGAGGGAAGGAGGTGAGCTGGAGGGGTGGAGAGGTCGCAGAGAGGAGGAGAGGTGGAAGGCTTGCACACTTAGCAATGGGGGGCCTCCAGAGGGTCTAGAGCAGGCAGTGCCCACCTGTCCTGTATGAGCTTCTTGTACCTCAAGGGACAAGGGACACCACGGAACCTGGGGCTCATGTTTGCAGTGAGTCAGGCTGAAACTCAGCCTGAGGGCCAACCTCCTTGGGTTAGCCTAGGGGTTAGATGCTCACAGCAACAAGAGGACAGCCATTCGTTGTCACGCTCCCACTGCACACCCAGGTTGCTGCTAGGCACCCCCCATTGGAGGCACGCACAGATTTTAGTCTTTGCGACAAGCCTATGGTGTGAACTTCGTCCCCGTTTGACAAGGAGGAAGCCAAGTCCCAGGGAGAGACAGGGTCATGCACCTGGTGGGACACAGGTGCAGGGAGCTTCTAGGGCGGCAGTGCCCCATTTCCTCAAGCAAAGATCTTCTCAACGTCAAAGGCTGCTGGGAGGTCAGCAACTGGATTTTTCACGATTATAAAAATGGAATACACTCGGCTAAAATATCAGTTCTGGGCCGGCCCCCCGTGGCTTAGCGGTTAAGTGCGTGCGCTCCAATGCTGGCAGCCCGGGTTCGGATCCCGGGCGCGCACCGACGCACCGCTTCTCCGGCCATGCTGAGGCCGCATCCCACATACAGCAACTAGAAGGATGTGCAGCTATGACATACAACTATCTACTGGGGCTTTGGGAGAAAAATAAATAAATAAATAAATAAATAAATAAATAAATAAATAAATAAAATATCAGTTCTGAAATTCATAAAACAGGCCGACCCTGCCGGCCGTACCCCCTCTCCCGTGCCCCGCCCCCTCCTCCGATGTCCCCTCCCCGGGGGTCCCTCCCCCAGGTGCCCCTCAGCACCCCGCCCTCCCGCCGCCGACCCGGAGCGTCGGTTCTTCTGTGCCCTCGAGAGAAAGACGAGGCCAGAGACAGCGGACGCGGGCTGGACGGCAAACCGGCGATGGGCGGAGCCAGAGGCTTAGCGTGGGCGATGAAGCAGCAGGATGACCAGATGCGGGAGGAGCGGCGGGGCGGGCGTGGCCGCGCGGATGGGGCGGGGCCTCACAGGAGGGGAGGGGCCAGGAGAGGATGGGCGTGGCTGCGCAGACGGGGCGGGGCCCGACGGGGGCTGGCTGCGCAGACGGGGCGGGGCCCGGAGGGATGGGCGGGGCCGCGCAGGCGGCTCTCATGTCCTTCGGGCACCGCCCTCCGCACGGCCGCTCTGTCTGGCGCCGGC